AAAAAAAAACACCCCAGCATTGCGTGTAGCGCCCTCCCGCTCTTCGGGTGCAGTACTACGATGCAGCAGGGGTCACTCAAACCCCGAGAACTCCAAAATCTCTAGAATTCCCCCAAACCTCCCCCTACAACCCCCTAGAACCGCCCAGAACCGCATTCCTCTATCCCTTGAAATCCAGAATTTTCTCGAGTAAAAAATAGAGGGGAAAATCATTTGAAAATCGAAAAAAATCCATGTAATTTGCCTGAAATTTCCCTGAAATTCCCTAGGAATGACAGGCGCCGCGCGTGCGTAGTGAATGGAGAAAAGAAACTATAAAAGGGGTAGCGCAAGGCCAGGGTGCGCAGTACAAAAACAGAAACAACGGAATTAACAGCTCTTCGGAGGTAATTGTCTCGTTATTATTGAATCCATTGAATAGTGATAATGTCGGAGGTTTATGTTGATGAGTACGAACACTTCAATTACGATTACGACAAGCACATATTTACCGGACACGGGGGTAAACAGAGGAGCAAGAGAGAGGCAACAGAACATACAAATCATTTTGATCCAAATGGACATTCCAGAAAAATTGTTACCAAGTTAATGAATTCCGAGCACAACAAGAGGCACGTCGATAAGAGCAAGGCTTAGGAGTTTATTTCAAGGTGAGTGATAAGGGGTGGAGGGGGCTTAGAGGACAAAATGGCGGAGATATTGCGTCGTAGTTTCGAGATCTTTTGCATACCGCGGTTTTTGCATTTTTCGATTTCTCCTCTCTCGAGGGTCTCAGAGGAAAATTTCATCTGAACTTTTTCCAGAACGTCAATTATTCGATTTAAATGACCTTTCACTTTTTTCTGGCAAATTTGACATTCCCGAGAAAATCTGGAAGGAAGTGAAATCGAAAAAAAAATAAAAAGGCTTTCAGCGAAAAAAAAAATCAAAGACGAATGCCAAATGAATGTTTATAAATTTTGTTGCAGTTTCGTGATCATTTGTGTGTTCCCACGTCCTCGAGCACTTGTTATTCAGCATTGTCAGGGCCCTGAGGACACCGGACCAGCATTTATTCACGAGAATTTACCTCCATCCCATAAGCTACTGATATAAAAATCTTCTACCTTCATAGAAGAGAGTTTGAGCTCTCGTGGACAGAGGAATTCCTCTCGTCCCATCGATAATCCCAGATAAATATTAAAAATACCATTCAAAGAGTGAAATAATACTGTAGTGATAGTTACTCAAGGCTGATTTAGACAGTCAGAAATATTTCGCATTTTCTTTTTTTAGCTCTAGGCCATTATTCGTCATTTAATATCATTAATCATTTTTTTTTGTGAGTACTTATATGAATCTTTCTTTTTTATTTTGAAAATGTATTAAAATTATAAGTATTGAATAAAATGAATTTAAAATGATTTTTTTTTTCGACATTAATTTTATTTTCTCCCATTTTATTTACTCTGTCGTGGAAGTTGTGGGTTTTCGGTGGGTGGGAGAGGAAAAATGGAAAACATCTTACGGTTAATTGGATGTTGTCCTAGGTTCTCTATCTAATCCGGTTTTCTTGGCTTCAGGCTTCTAAACTTGCAGTGGAGAAAATAAACAACAAACAAGAGGAAAGATGAAGAGTAAGAAAATTTTCTGCTCAAGGTATTCGGAAATATTTCTCAATCCCCGAGAGATATCAAAATTTTGTTGAGACCTTTTTTGTAGATCTCATTTCACTCTACAAAAAAGGTACCGATGAAAATTTTTATATCTCCCTTCAATTCACAGATATTCGGGAATTTAATCAACGAAAACAGGTAAAACGAAATAATTCCTAAAATTATACAAAAATTATTTATTATATTACATATTACACGACAATTCCCCCGAATCTTAAACCTAAATATGTAATTATATTATAAACCTACGCTATCTGTAAAATCATCTCTTTCTCTTGGAATTCTTCCTAACAAAAAAACACATACGCAATAAATAATTGTTACACATCACCCGTGTTTTGGCTGCATCGTAATAAAGAAAGACACTTTTTTCTCCCTGCCAGTTATCCCTCACTTAATATTTCACATATTTAACGGACAACTTCAGAAAATAATTCAAAGAAAAAATACTATATCGCGAAATTCCCATTACTATTTACTCAGGAGTGGATTTGAGTCTTTTAAAATGGTCCCAGCACCTTTTTTATTAGGTAATTCCCCCCCCCCCCCATCGCTCTTTTAAATTAAAACCTTCAATTTCGATGACTATTCTACTCGATTGTAATTAACCATCAGTAATTAATTATCCATTTAGTTTGAAATCGATTGAAGAATCTTTTATCAATTTCACGATTGATAAAAATCGGATTAATGAGTCATTTCAATTGTTAATCCAATAAATAATAAATTCAATAAATATAAATGGCCACTTTGAGCTCTGAATGATTGAGTCCATAAATTTTTAAACATGAAGAGCGAATTCCTCGTAATCCAGCTGTTGTCTGAGAATTCCGGAGAGTAAAAATTCAATGTGTACGACATAAACCTTGATATCTTGAATTTTGGCAATCATTTTTTTGACCCTGGAGAGGTCATCGGGAGAAGTAACAATGACAGATTGATCAGGCCAAACACTAGGTGCCCTGACCATCGGTTTACCCCCAGCCATTTGAACAATAATCTTCAACTCTGGAAGACTGGGTCCACTTAATTTCGATGTGAGAACAATAGTCTTCCCCTGGAGTAATTGACTTTCTCTAGCACGTGCCAAACTGTTTCCAAGGTTGAATTTGAATTTTGCCTCAGCCTCTGGATCGTGAAGAATATATTTTTCATAATTGAGAAATTTTTTAGACTTGACTGACACTTGTAACCAGACGATTGAGACAATGGGAATTCCCCTGGAGACAGCGCAGAGGAATTTAACTGTCCTTCGGACTTTATCGGTGACGAGAATTGTTGCTTTACGGGGATCAGTGGTTACAGTTCCCCCAAGGGACTCTACAAGCTCTCTGTCCTCGTCGTCGTGCTCCTTGATGCCAGTGAATAGGACACACGGACATTTGAATTCATTTGACATGCCATTCATGGCAACATTTTTCGACCTCGTATTCCTCGAGGGAGAGCTCTCCACGACTTCCCGGTTACGTTTATCCTCTCCTTTTTCGTTTTCCGTGTCTTTCTCCTTCTTCACGATTTTTTTCCTCGCGAGATCCTTCTCGTGTCCTTCTTTTCTCTCACGCTCTCTGTTTTTTCCCTCAGGTACTCTCGTTTTCACTGGAGAGTCCTGTCCTGTCCTCGCTTTCTTTACCAAATCTGGAATTTTCGGCTTCAAATGTGTTTCCAACGGCACGTGGATCTTCGAGATCCTCGAGACATTCAAAGGTGTTCTCCCCCTTCCAAGGCTCTCAGGAAATCCCTTGTGGAAACCTGAAACTGCCTCATCCTCGGAGGACATGCTCTCCAATGCCTGCCTCTGACGTTTCCTCCTCTTCAAATTTGTAAAATGATTTTCCTGGGAGTCGATTTCATCGCCCGGAGGTGCCAATATTTTTTTTTTTTCCAGATCCTTTGATTTCAGGGTTTTCCCTACATTTCCACGGGTTTGTGGAATTTTCCGTGATTTTTCCTGGAGGTCTTTAGGTGTTCCTGGGGGTGAGTCCGAGGAATTCAGGATGTCCTCCACCTCCTGGGTCATCAGAAATCCTCCAGGATCGACTACCCTCTCCTCACCTCCACCAAACATACTGTCCAGATCTCTGGAGATTGGGTTATCGAGGCTTTCCCCTGTTTTTTTGTGACTCTGGAGGGATTTGTCGTAGGAGATGCTCCTGGACTCGTCGAACGCACTGTCCTTCGTATCGCCATCATTCCTGGATCTCAAGGACAGGTTGAACTTTCGTTTTCTGCCTGGAGTTGAAGCAAAAGGTGTTGACGAGTGCATCGGAGAATTTTCTTTGGGAATTCCCAGGTTTTGGGGGATTTTTCGAGGGGTCCGCCCTGTGGAAGAGTCTGGGGATCGCTCTGGACCCTCTGGTACTTCTGGAGGAATGGGCTCAGACTTCCTGGGGGTTTTATAGGCATTCCGAGTCTTTCGGGTGCTCTGACGATTTTTTGGAGATTCTGGAGGAGTTCTAGCAGGACAGGATTTTTTATCAGGTCCGTCCGAATTCTCGGAGTCCGATAACGAAGGTATCGATTTCTCGGCTGCCATTTTCATTTTTTTGGGAGTCGAATTGGTTTTTTTGAGAGGATTCTCCAGCGTCTGGGGATTTCTAGTCGTTCTCTGACGCTTAGTGACTCTCGAGGAGGAGGAAATCGTTTCAGCATGACCTTTAAGCTCGGGGGAATCCGAGGAGGAGATCTGTTGGCTCCTCAATTTGACATTCATATTGACTCCTGAATCTCCGAAACTTTTATGATTTTTTTGTCGATTATTTTGACGTTTTATGGCTTGAACATCGATGATCTGCGTGGGATCACTGTCATTCAGCAATGCCATCCTCTTCTTGCTATTCTCCTCGTCCTCAAATGGCCATTTCCTGGATGAAGGGTCATCAGGGAGTGGCTGAGACTGAGTTTTATCAAAATTGAGGATTTGCGTCGGTCCAAGATCATCGAAATCATCTGGACGTGCGTTGGATGGACCTGGGGCACTTCTCGAGCTTATCTGAGTTGGCTCCAAGTCATCGTCAAAATCAAGCATTCGTGGTGTTTTACGACCTGATATCCCTGGATGATTCATCTTCTGAGTTGGCTCAAGGTCATCAAAATCAAAGGCTGCATTTTTTGTCGTGAATTTCCTGTCGATTTTCTGAGTTGGCATCGAATCCTCGGTCGTGTGATCAAAGTCGTGATGATTTCCAGGCGTTTTGGAAGGGCCTGAACATGATTCCAGATTACTTGTGATGTTTTTCTGTGGACGTCTCAAGGATTTTGATTGCACGATGACCTGAGTTGGGGCACTATACGGATCATAATCGTCATCATCATCGGCATATATATCGCGGGACGTTTCGGCTTTTTTTAGCATCTTGAGGACTTCCGGGGGCAGGTTAGAATCGTCGACATCATTTCTCGATGATTTGGATTTATTTGGAATTTTTGATGGGTCCTCATAGTCTGTGTCGCTGTCCGATGATATTCTAATGACTCCAGATGATTTCGGGGAGGTTTCTCTGATGATTTCAGAGCTTGAGTGTCCGTTGATGACTTTGGAAGACTTGGGATCATTTTCTGGAGGACTTTTTGATGATTTTTGAGATGACTTCGATGATTTCGAAGACTCCCTCCGATCATTTCCGCATTTCGAGGAATCTGAAGATACCGAAATTGTTCTGTTGGCTTGACCAACGGATTTTGGTGATTTTGGGGATTCGGAAGACAATTTTCGTTTGTCTGGAGATTTTTTTCGGAATGATTTCGAAGGTAATGGGTCCGCTTCGAAGTCTGTGTCATCATCGCTGGACGCGGGAATTACTTTTAGAGAATCAGACATTTTGGAAACTGTAACCTCTTCCTCGAAGTCCGTTTCCTCATCGGAGTGATTTAGTACTGATTTCAGTGACGTTGAATTATTCGTCGATGATTTAGAATTTTTTAAATCGCTCTTAGATGATTTGATAACCTTTACTGATTTATCTAAATCATTGAAATCAGTCTCGTCCCCAGAATCTTCTAAAATCCTTTCAACTTCTGACACCAATGATGTGAAATCATTTCCTGATGACTGCGATTTCTGGGAATTATTCTTCGATACATCGCTGTGATTCCCCAGTGTGAGTAAATCATCCTCAAAGTCAGTCTCCACGTCATCATCATCACCTGCTGACTTGCCATCACTTTTCGATGATTTATCGTTAATTGCTGGAAAATTTTCGGGAACATCCACGACTCGCTGATTCCCTCCACCCATCGCCATTTTCCTCCGACGATTTTCATGCGATTTCGAGTCATCAAAAATGCTGCCATGATGAGCGAAATCAATTATCATTTGCTCCGAGTCAGCGACAAGATCCGGGGATGAGCTCTGACTCCTGAAAACGTCCTCTTTACGTCGTCTGGAATTTTCTAAAAATTCCAGATTAGACTGAGTTTGAAGATCATGAATATCCTGAAGATTATCATCGTCGGCCCCCCAAATATCAGCATTCAAACTCTGCACATCTCTCTCGTGTGGCGATAGACTCTTACCTCGAGATTTTCCAGGCTCTTCAGTCTTCTGGGTTTTCAATGATTGAATATGATCATCAAGATTGACTTTCTGAGTCTGAAAATCATGAATCATTGATGAATGATTCGAATGATCCTTACTGGGGCCTTCAGAGGTGGACGCCTGAGTCTCGAGGGTTTGGATATTGGAAGGATGTTGAGGAAGACTTCTCGATGGTTCCGGATGATCAGATGATTTTTTATGATTCCCTCGGGAAGGGCTTTTGGAAGGCCCAGGGAGACCGTCACCTTCTGCGTCATCTCCAACAGCCAAACACTGGGTATTAACTTCCTGAATATTTCTCCGATCATCTTTCGCCGACTGTGAGCTGTTCGCTGATCTCGATGCATCCATGTCGTGGAGATCCGAGTCACTCGTTCTGTCGTGTTGCTGGGTCGATTGTTGTGTCTCAAGATTTTGAATGTCATCACCAGAGTTCACTTGTGTCTCCAGAGGATCATCTCCAGGTGTCAAGGGATTCATCATGGGGATTTTTCTCCTGTTAGGCACGGCTGGACGACGGAACCTCGCGTCATCCTGAGATCGTGCCGTTGCTTCAATCACGGAATCCTCCTGGGATTCATCGAGCCCCGGACTAAGTCCTGGTTCCGGGGTCGCTGGGACCGGGATTCGCTCATCCTCAGGCCTTTTCAGGAAGAATCTAGCTTCGACGTTCCCAAATTTCAGGGAAGCCCCGTCCTGAACCATGTAGAATCTCCAGGGTGTGAGGACTGCCTGGGAAATGCAAATTTTCCATTACCCAGGTGTAAAGTCGATCTTTAAGGGTGGAAAAGTTGGCATTTCGGTACGTATCGCAAAAAATATAATACTGACACGAAAAAGAAAATATCCAGTTCTCAATTTATAAAAAAATATTCGATAATCGAATGATTTTTCATCGCAGTTGCGAAAAACTGACTTTTCTCAACGGACCTATAAAATCGATTTTTCCTCACACGTGAAAATATCAGTTAATGACACAATTTCTATTAGTCAATGAATTTTTGGCATTGAATTTTCAAAATTGTACGCCATGTGTGAGATTTTCACGTTTCGGCTGTTGGACCCGTACGAAAAAGTGAATTTTTCGCACGACGATTGAAAAACTGACGATTTTTTGAAATCACTGATTTGTGTTTCGAAAACATGAGTAGGTCAGGAGCGAGAAATTTTTGTAGATAATAACCAGAGAAATCTAACACAAAAATAAAAAAAACAGATAACCCATTTTACCCCGTTACATCTGTAAAAATCATAAAGAAAATGCGACAGAAAAATTCTCGAGTCCAGAATTTTCCATCGGAAATTTCCCTGGCTATTTGCAGTCCCTCCAAAATTCTGAGGCTCAACAAGAAAAATAATACTTCCACGTAAAAACAATAAACAAATTATTTACTTACATCATCAAGACGCGTTTTGTTGGACGATTTAAGATCGGAAATGAATACACTTTTTCCATTTGCTTCGATCTCCGCGTGAAATTTCGATACCATCTGAAAATAAAATAATCGTGAGTAATTGCACATTAAATTTTTGTAACGAAAACAAATAATAAATGATGAGTGAAGTGGATGCGGGTTCAAAAGTTCTAGCGATACCAGCCGGATATTTTTTTCAACCGGGGGTCATGTCACCAGACCGATTGCCGTTTCTCGATTAAAAAAAAAAACCAAACCGAATAAGAAATATTATGTAAAAATTTACTAATCATATCCCTGCAGAACTCTAACTCTTTTTGGTGATGATTATTCCATTATCACGGTACATGGGTCCAGATGGGGGAGTGAATGGTATAAATGTCGATGGAAATTGAATGGAAGGTATGAGTCGAATTGTAACCATGAAGTTGTTGGTGTTGCTGTGTTTGGTGCCATTGGCACTTGCCACCCTCGATAAGGACAAGACACCGGATGGTCCCAGGGTGATTACACCCTTGGGAGGTGTCCGTGGGTTCTACAAGTACTCGCAGAATGGCCGGAAGTTCATGGCCTTCGAGGGAATTCCATACGCACAGCCTCCAGTTGGTGAACTGCGATTCAGGGTAATTGTCATGGTTTAATTACCGAAATAGCGAGCAGATAAGGAGTTAAAAGTGACGGTAATCGATAGCCGGGAAAATTTCCTATCGAAAGCACTCATTTTGAGCCCGTTTATTCCATTTGATTTTTTTCATGTGGAAATAATTGGAATGAGTGTTTCGGATAGGAAATTTTTCTGGCTATCGATTGGAATTTTTTTCAACACTCTATCTCCTCGTTTTCACCCTGAAGAATCTGTTAATCACTCTGAGCTCATCAGAATTTCGGAAAAATCATGGAAAAATAATTATTTCCAGCCACCACAAAAGGTGATCCCGTGGATTGGCGACATCGTGGCCCTGAAGACAGGTTCCCCCTGCCTTCAGTACCAGCACACACCTTTGAACCAGAAGGAGAGGATTGTGGGTTCCGAGGACTGTCTCTACCTGAACATCTACAAACCCCTAACGGAGAAAAGCAAACCCCTTCCCGTTATCATATGGATCCACGGTGGTGCCTTCCAGTGGCACATGGAGGCACGCGACGGTGAATTCACCAAACCCGACTACATAATGGACCGTGATGTGATCCTGGTGACGTTCAGTTACCGTGTAGGCCCCCTCGGTTTCCTGTCCACCGGCGATGACCTGATCTCCGGTAACATGGGTCTCAAGGATCAGAACATGGTTCTCCACTGGGTCAAGGACAACATCAAGGGATTCGGTGGTGATCCTGATGAGATCACACTCTTCGGTTTGAGCGCCGGTGGTGTATCCGTTCACTATCAATATCTGACACCTCTGACCAAGCCTGGTCTATTCAAACGTAAGTCCAGAAACGAAAATATTATGAACACGAGAAGAGACAGGGGACAATAATCGAAATTGGAATCGTTCTTTTTGATGGCAGGTGGACTTTCCTTCAGTGGTAATGCCCTTAACCCATGGGCCATCACCGAGAACGCCCCGGAGAAGGCCAAGAAATTAGCGAGCATCGTTGGATGCCCAACTGGGGACACCACGGAGATGGTCAAGTGTCTGAAGACCCGTCCAGCCCGTCAAATCGCACGTACCGACATGGACTTCATGGTAAGTTTGAATGGGATTTATTTATATAAATAAACAATGAGGGAATCGGAAGAATGGGGAACGTAAAAATTATTGATTCCCCAGGTCCTCGAGTTCAACCCAATGACGCCCTTCGGACCAGTGGTGGAGAAAAAAACCGCAGAGTCTCCCTTCATCACGAAGATCCCCCACGAGATAATCATGAAGGGAGAAGCTCTGGACGTTCCCTGGATCACCGGAGTAGTCCCTGAAGAGGGTCTCTACCCAGGCGCGGACTTCTGTGCAAATCCAGTGCTTCTGAGGGAATTGGACGCCAGATGGGACGAGCTAGCCCCCCACATCCTTGACTTCAACTACACAATTCCCTTGAACAAGCAGATGGACGTCGCCAGGAAGCTCAGGAAGCACTACATCGGCGATGGGCCCATTGACAAAAGGACTGCCATGGACCTCGTCCACATGGTTGGAGACCGACTTTACGTGGTGGGTGGTGTCAAAGCTATCAAGTTGATGGCCAAGTACAACAAGAGTCCCATGAGGTACTACTACTTCACCTACCACGGAGCTGACAGTCTGTCCTACGCCATGACCCTGACCCAGGAAGACTGGGGTGGGTGTTTTTTTTATTGCTTTTTATTGCTGCCAAATACTCGCAATTTGAGAAAAAAAAGAAATTGATAACTCCTGGGGATTTTTTAGGTGTAGCCCATGGTGACGATCCTTACTACGTCGTTGGATCGCCCTTCATGGACCCCACGACCACTGAAGAGGATCGTGCCATGCAGAGAGAACTCCTCGACATGTGGACGACGTACGCAATCAAGGGGTAAGTCTTGGGAGAATTTTTGAATTTCTTGAAGTGATTTTTTTTGGTTATCCTGAGCAGAAAACCTGAGGTATCACTGGAATGGACACCCATAGACCCCTCCAAGGAGGAGCTTGTGTACTTACACATCAAGGGCCCAGGACAATACGAAATGGAAGCCGACAGTAATTTTGGCCAGATCAAGCTGTGGGAGAGCATTGATTTCGACGAGGGCAAAGTGGGTGGCAAAAAGGTCGAGTTGTAATTCGATAATTCATCGTTTTTATGGTTTTATTGTGTACCAATGACTGTTATTGTTGTAATTTTCACGAGATTTAATAATTATTGAATAAATGATTGAATAAATAAAATAATTTTAACATGAGTTGAGAAGTGATATCTCCATACCATGTGAAACCTCATAAATAATGATTAACTGATGGATAATTTAATTTAATAATTTTTTTCGCGCACGATAAAATACCCAGGAAATTATCGCGAGATATTTTCTATCTGAATTTCATTAACTTGAATTGGGTGAATTTGAAAATAAATAATTAATGAAATTGATAACAGGGTATTACTGAGGGTAATTAATAGAATCTTCCCACTCATTACGGAATATTGAAATTTTTTCGAATGAAAAATGCAAGAGTCGTTGGAGAAAAAAAATAAAAATTCTTCCGAATAAAAACATGACTTACAATATCTTCTAAAAATATCTGGTGGGCCGGATGTCTCCCAATTTTGGTGATGCCACTGAGGATGGGATATTTAACATCTCCAATCTCCAAGGTCCCAACCTGGATCTAAAAAACAAATGAAAACAGTGAAAAAGGTTAATTTTCCCTGATCAGAAAGGATTGATAATTTTTATCCTGTCAAAATGATTACCTGCGTCTTCGCCTCGGTCTGAGTCAGCGAGGGCTCGTTGAGATGATCTTGCTCTATGATTTGGGTGCACTGAAGATCCATTCTGCCAAAAATGTTGATTTTCCCGTTACCGATGTAACGGGAAAATCAACCAATAAAATCTCCAAATCCCTCTCAATCAGTCTTCAACAATATTTCTTCACTAAAACCACCTCCTCACACCGTTTTATCGAATCTGCTTTGATCTCTCGTGGATCCACTAGTGCTCTCAGTATCTATCAACGAAAATGGCGCCGGAAAATCGGAAAAGGCGGGAACCGGAAGGCGACTTGTGACGCCATCTTTAACTCTCGAAAAATCTCGGAAATTTTTAATTTGAATTATTTATGAAAAAATCTATTTTTTTCCTCGCATTCAAAATATTACAATTAGAATACAATCATTAATACAAAAAAATAATAATTCACAATTAAAAATAATTTCTACGAACAAGGGGATGAATAAATATGAATTATTATTCCTCATTACTATCCCCTCAAAAATTTTTTAGAATTAAATAATCGTAATTATAATGTTGTTATTATTGTAGTGTTAATAATTATATTATTCATTCGATATTGTTCACTCCTCAGTGAAGCACTGGAATTTTATATTAAATTTTGAATGGCAATCGATTTCCCGCCTTTTCAAAAATCATTTTGCGTTATCTACGCCTTTGCCTCTGTCTCAATCTGTTAACACTAATCCTAACCAATAATAAAAACAAAAGCGATAAAAATCGCACGTTCATAAAGACAAGAATTAATAAATAAAACAGGCATTCGATAATTTTTCGGGTGACAAATGTAACCGGTGGCTTAGGGATATCAGGAGATAACTCCCAAGGCCTCGTGACTCGTGACATTTTCCCATTCAAAATCGAGGGAATTGTTTTTTAAAAAATTAAGAGATGGACGTGGAGAGGCTTGCAGTTTTTGCTGGAATAGGTTTTGCCCTTGGTGTTGGTGCATTTGTCCTCTGGGGTCCCACCCCGAGACCCAGGCGAAGAGGTGAGGCCCCAAAAATTCTCTCTCCATTTTTTTTTTTCATTCTTTCAAATGAATCCCTCGCAATTTTCAATTTGATAATTCAGTGAGATAATCAGTGAAATGCAGCTATCGATTTATGATTTGGTGTTATTTTTTTTTCAGGGCAAGTCGCTGGCATAACGAACCTGGGGTTCACTTGCTTCCTGAATTCCCTGTTGCAGGCCCTGGGGGCTTGTCCGGTTTTTCTCAAATGGTTGAATGAGAGAGCAGTTAAGAGTAAAGACACGAGCTTCACCAGCAATCTAGCTCTCGTTCTCGACAGGGTGAATGGTTTCACCGACGATTTATATGGTAATGTCACCCCGATTGAGGTGATCACCTCCTTGGGGCCACTCTGGAGCTTCGAGCCGGGGTATCAGGATGCCCACGACTTGTTCCACGTGATGCTGATGGCTCTCCAGAATGAGACACAAACACCCACTAGGAAATTCTGCCTCTCCGACGCCCTCCCCTCGCCCCCAGGTTCACCCCAGGACGCATTAACCCTGCGGAGTGTCTCCTGCAACGATCTCCCCCAGGAGGAGCCGTCGAGGCTACTGTCATCCTCTCAGAACATGACGTCCTCAACTCGCTCCATTCCATCCTCGAAGCCAGGAGTCATCCTTGCTCGTTCCTCAGAGGTTCTCACGAGATATCTGACCGATGAGTCATCCCCGAGGATTCCAGAGAGGGCCTGGAGATCCCTCTGTGCTCTGCCCCAGGTGACACCCCTGGGTAACGAGAATCATCCGTTCTCTGGATTTCTGACAAGCCAATTAAAATGCACGAGATGCCAATGGCGTTCACCAGTTCGTTACGACAAACTCGAGACAGTGTCTCTCCCCCTGCCACCTGGGGACACCCTCTGGAGACGACACACCCTCGGTGAATTATTCGCTCGTCTTGTGACGAGTGAAGTGATAAATAACGTCGAGTGCGATGGATGTGGCACGAGATCTCCAGCCCTGAAGACCCTCACCATGGGTAAATTACCGAGATGTCTGTGCATTCACATTCTCAGGACCACCTGGGGCACAGGTGCACCAGTCAAGAGGGACGATGTCGTTATTTTTCCAGAGGTTTTTGTTCTCGATCCGTTCACCTTCAACGAGGCTAAGAAGAGGAATGGACAGGCCACATTACCTGTCATGGGCATCAACTCTGGGGCCCAGGGAAAGCACAAGTACAGACTCAGGGCTGTTATCGAGCACAGGGGAAGGGTTGACACTGGACATTTCGTTTGTTATCGCAGGGGAAATTGGAATAATCAGTGGATTTATACGTCTGATAATGTCGTGGAGAAGACGTCCTTGACTGATGTACTGTGTGCCAATCCTTATTTGATGTTTTATGAGAGGATTGATGGGGTCTAGCAAATATTTCGAGGATCGATTATCGACGCTCTCGGGAATGATAACCGATTTTTTGGAGGAACCAGAAGAGCTGGAGAAAATATTCAGTGAAGACTTCGGGTACTTCAGCGCGTTTCGGAGATTTATGGGTGAATGGGAATTGAAAGTTTGTTATTATTCCAGTTTTTGGGATTTTTGGACTTCAGTTAGAGATTGATGTCTAGGATTGGCTCGGGATTTGGACGGATTTTAATTGGAGGTGTGTAGAGATTTAATTCAATCCTCGAGATGTTAAGGAAAATGATTTTGGTGGACTACCCTTTAGGGACGAATTTTTCTTTCATGACCTCGGGAAATATCTCGACGAGTCGATGGTCCTCCGTCACCGTTCACTTAATTTATCCCTTATTATTATTAGAAACCCAACAAATGGCAATTGAGAATTTTTGAGAGACTGAAAAATAATCACTAGAGCTTAAACAATACCCCCTTGTTCCTATCCAGATAATTAATATATCTATGGAATATTTAGAAATCAAACTGTCGATTATTTCGATTTTGATTTCGATTGATTAAAAAATGCCAATTATTTGGAGTCCTAAGACTGTTGGGTAAGTTTCTTAATTTTTCACGTGCCATATGGGATTGGAGGAGTCATTCGCAGTGCCTAAGTATTTTCTTATTCATCTAGAAATTTATCCACAAATTTATAATTCTCTAGAAAATATTTTATTTCAACTTTTATATAAATGAATTTTTCTCAGTTGTTCTCTAGATATATTTTTTCTACATTGAGTTGATATTTCAGGGGGTAGAATAATCATAAGGTAGAAGTAGTGTTCATTAGAGGGAATAAAAATAATTATTACAAAAATAAAGGAGTGAGGAGTAAATATGAGTCTCGGAATTCATGAAATCTCTTGTTCTCGTCCCGAATTCTTTTTTTTTTCAGTAATAACGAACTGTTGTAATTGCTGTCTTCATTTCCTCAATGTCGTAATTGTTCTTTGAGTACTCGGTGAATCCCAGAATTCCGAAGGATTTAAATCTGTCGAGCCACTGGGGATTGGATTTTGCTGTGAGAAATCCTTTTTTTATCTGATCTCCAGTTGTTTGCGGGAGTTTTCCGTTCAGCATGATCTGGTACGGGGGCAGGGGGCCCAGACTGTCCAGAATCAGAAGGGCGTGAACACCTGGGAGGTTGTCTCGGTGACAATTTACCACTGGAGCCTCCAGGACTCCGACCTCCGTCTGCTTTCCTGCGACCATCTGGAGAGCTGCCACTTGGGTCTCGCAATCTTCAAGGATTGTTGTATGAATATTTCATGTACCGTGGAATCGACACGAAAATGCCAGAGAACTTTTTTGTGGATAATTCAATGCACCAGGTAAAAGTCCTTTGGCATTTTTTTCTGGAGTCAACACCCTCGGAGGTATATGCGAAATAACTGATGGGTGGAGTGTTTTTATTACCTAAAGTGTTCCCGAAGAATGAAGGATTCTCTCCCTTGGACTTGAGGTAATTGAACAGCAATCCCACACCTCCGATCTTCGTGTGCCTCCCTGGGAGGGCCACCTTGTACCCACGAAGGTCAGTGATATCCTGGGGAGAAATCCATTGATTATTTTTTTTTAATACGCATTCCCTGGAGATTATTAAATTACTTCGATGTGCTCTGCGATGTCCTGGGCCACGACGATATCAGCGTAAACTCCAGGATCATTTTTTATGTTCAGCCGATGCTCGAAGACGAGGCCAATCGGCAGGAGATTCCCATCCTTCCACTCCTGACTCGCCGGCAAAAAAGCTAGAAGAAATATTGTTGTGGATTTTTTAACAGTGAGAGGAGGAGATAAATGGCGATGGAAATTCTTATAAATTGGTGGATTCGTTGGAGTTTTATAAAGTTTGACGGGGGAAGGGTGGGTACCTATGTCGACGATGCCGGTGGCCACCGGACGATTCACCCTGGACTCGTGAATCAAAACAACTGGAGTTTGAGTGGAGAATTCAATGATCTCTGCAACAATCTCGAAAAGTTCGATGGGAAGTGAAGGCACCAGGTGAGTCGCCAGGACCAGGGGCTTCAGGGTATACGATTGCTCCTGAAGAAGATTTTGACGGACCTTGTGAGGCACCGGAACCTTCGCAGGTAGTGACTTCTAAAAATTTATTAAAACCAATTTATTTTTATTCATTTATCGCGAGAACAGTCGGACTAGGGGGAAATTCATAAAATAATTTTTTGTAGGTTTTTCAATTTTCGAGAATAAAGGTCTCTTAGTGTTTTCTCCTAGAGTCAATCGTTACGGAGATTAATCGATAATAAATAAAGTAAAAATTCATTCCTTCTCAATTAATTTGCAATTATTATGAATATCGTTGCGCAAAACCCAGTATTAACTAATTAATTCAGCACCAGGAGATCAACAGAGAATAATTTGCAATGAATTTTCCCATTAATCAACTTGTTGTTAAAATCATAATGCAAAAAATGTCAATTTTTTTACTTCCAATCGATTCTTCTTCATTTTTCAAGTAAAAAAAAATTATTTTCCTTTGTAAATCGACTCATTACAATCCATAAATAATCGTAAAAAAATAGAATTGCTATTATTATTATTATTTGATGAGAGGGAGAACGCACAGCGACAGGAAGAATAATTGGAATTTTCTTGACACGTGCTGGTGGTACACCAGGAGCAACAGTTGTCCCCTTGACAGCATCACCAGTGGATTTTTCACATCTCTTGTCTCCCAAGGTCACACTCTCCTTCACCTTGACCTCCTTCTCGACCGGTTCAACACTCCCAGAGACAGACGTCATTCTGCACAAATGGCGGAAAACCGGTGAACGCAGGGGAATAATAACTACGAAAAATAGAACATCCCGTGTTTTATAATCGCGAGAATTTCTCAATGCTGACTGCCCGTTATGTAGTCACCGAACATTCAATCCCTGGAATTTATACCGGTATGCTAATCACTGGGGATTAGCGGAAATTTTGAAATGATGTGTGAAAATTTTCCGAGGAGTTTCAAATTTTTCATCAGCTCCATTGACTCATATTTTTCATTTTTTATTTCATTTGATTCATTCAAATTCTGTTTTCGTGTTGCAAATATAAATTAATTGTTGAGAAAATGGAAAAAATGATTGTAACAAAGTAATTGAATTTTTCTGAGTGATTTCTCTTCTGAAATATTCGATTATCGATGAGAATTTGATGAATTTAATTGGAAATTCAGTAATAGTCATGAGTATAAATGGTATTTACCTCTTGAATCGATGGAACTCGACGAGAGACTGATCTCCTCGTCTCCGGGATCAACGAAAATTCTTTTATTTGTATTTATCTTTCATCCAATGACCGCGTGACGGGTGCGTGCCGTCGCAAATTCCACTGATTTAATTGCAAATTATTGGATTGAAAATTGGACGCCCCGTGACATACGACCTTTGCAAACGGACGAAAGTCCCACCGACCTGGGGCCGACACACGGCCGGTGAAGACATCATCCGGGTGCATCGATCGTTTTTTTCTTTTCCACTTTTGCCAGGTCTAATTGTTTATTCCCCAGAGATTAATTCACAGCTCGACGTCTGGAGATAATTCCATATCACGCATGTTTTTATAAACAATAAATGTTGCATAATTAGAAACTTGCGTCAATTTTCAATTCCCATGAGACGTCTTTTTTTTTTTCATTCACAAAAATAATCGACCGATTTTCAAAAAATCGTGGACCCACATAAATTGAAGATTTGAATTCTTCACTTCTTCCATTTTTCATATTCAAACCAATTATATTAATTAGAATGATTGCTTTAAGTATTATTGAAGAGTTTTTAAAAAGCAAAATCAATCGAAAATAAAAAATCGATCCCCAGAGAAAATCGACAGATTTTTCTCAAGGAAATTTCTGGTTTTTGGGATTTTCCGAGGCGAACGGTTAATGATTTTTTTTTTCTAAGAAAAGAAAATAGTTAATGAGGAGATGGTCTTACGTAACCGAAGGTGTTTCTGAGAAAACGAGGAAATACCCGTGGATAATTCCATGGAAATCTAATGTGCTATGTCTGAACGATTACATTGATCTCCACATTATCCCCCCCCGAAAGTGCAGAGAGATGAAAAAATCATTGAAATAAAAAAATCCTGGAAAAACCGCAATTCAGTGATTTCCGGGTGCGGGGAGTGCGGGGAATCCCCGGTTCTCCGCGCCTCGTTTTATGAATTCCAAATAAAAATTCAAAACGACTCATTCGAAATTTATTACACTGGTTCCAACGAATTTAATGGAACTCAAACAGTTTTTTGTCACTCGTCCGCACACACGTCACGTATTCCTGGAGGTGATGATTTATTCTCGTCGATGAATGGATAATTCTCTGAAATGATTTTTCAAACACATGATCGTCACAGAATGACACTTCACAGTTAATCAACACAAAAAAAACCAAAAACGTAATTAAAGATTTCGAAATATAAGTAATTAGGTGATGAATTATTTAAAAAGTCATTGATGACTTGAAAAATCATCGGAAAACTCCCCATCGAAATTCGGTCCCAGTTTTTTCGATATTACGAGAGATCCGATGGAGTTATCGAAATCATCATGAGAACCATTTTTGTGTAAAAAAATATAAATTACAAAAAAGGTCTCATAAATAATATCGCTATCTCCCCCACATTCCGAGTAATTCCCAAAAAAAGGGATTCACCAGAAATTCAAAAATCGTCCAATCGGGTTTTCGTTTTTTCGATATATCGTGAGATCCACTGGAGATATCGAAATCATCATATAAAGCGTTTTCGTTGAAAAAAATCCGATGTACAAAAAAGTCGGTATAAAAAAATTCGCTATCTCCATTATTTAGGGAGAAAAATGGAGGAGTTGAGGGGCGCAGCGATTGCCTCTTGAATTTTTCACTGACAAATCCATTTTTTCGCAACCGGAAGTGAAAAATTGGGTCACTGTCGCGGCAAAAAATTAAACGGAGATTGTGAATAAATAGAGGTGAATTTTTTGAGGTGCATTCACGACAAGAGACCCGTAGGAACTGATGGGTCGGGGGCCCGTTGAAGAAATTCCAGGCTCTTTCCTCCTACCGACGTCTCCTCTCGCCTCACCCCAACACTCGTCATCGTCATCATCATCCCAATGATGACGTCATACATAATCAAACGAGTTTTTGCTGAATAAGAGAATTAAAAATACCAACGAAGTATTATCTCCACTGAATCATTCGATTGACTCATCCCATCAAAATCATCGGTTCCCATTTGTTTAATCAATTTTTATTATTTTCCAATGCCAAAAATCGCGAGTCCGATAATTAAATCTATCGAGGTGATAATGCTGCGATAATTATCCAATATTTGTCGCACAGGTGGAAAGTCCAAAGGCGAATTTTTTTATCCTTTTTTATGAATTATTATCGGATTTTTGTGGAATTCACGAGTTCCAGATTTGATTAATTAATTTGAAATTCATTCATTGGCATAATTGACCATTTAATTTTAGAATCTAATTACTGGTGGATTGGAAAAAGAAAAAAAACGGAAATTAATTCTGGGAGCTGGGAAATTTATTCACAAGCCGAAAATTCCGTCAATTTTCTCAGTCTGAAAATGGTTTCCCCGAGTTCCCCGATAATTAGCTAATTAATCACCAATTAATTCGGGTAATTAGCGGCCAATTAGGGAGCGGGGGAATTCGAGACGTCAGAGGAATTCACAGTAAATTGAAGAAAAAAAGGGAAAAATAATGTGAGGTATAAGTAAAGCGTGTGTTCGCCGAGTAGCGGTTGGTATCCACTCGTGCCAAGGTCATTGATTCCTCCAGCAGTTCCGGCTCGGTTTCTGGGCCAGGTTAACCGTCTTCAGGCAACTCACTACCTCGGTTACCACACTCAAATTCCAAACCTTATATCTTCTTATTTATTTATCTCCACTGTCGGATTTTTCCCCGATTTTTCTCGTCATTTTCCGCTCTTTATCTTCCATTTTTAACTTCCATTTTTTCCCTTAATTTCTCTTCATTTTCTCCCCATTCTTAATATTCATCTGGTTTTCCTCATTTTTTCAAAAATTAAATTTTTCCACTCGGTTATCCCGAGTTTCCGAGGCCGGAAAATTGGGCTAGATGTAATTATCGGAAAAAGTGAATTTACAATTTGTTGGCGGTATCCGATTCGCTCAGTTGTGTTCCCCGAGGCGTGATAATTCACGAGCTAGCGGAACTTCAAATTAACGAGGAGAAAAAAATAAAAGCATTAATTTTAACCCTTTTAAATAATTTATCTGATTATTCTATCGCGTCAGAATTTTCAAAAACGGAAGAAGAAATGGGGAATTAAAAAAAAATTACTTCAAATAAAGAGAAATCAATTGCAATTTTTCCAATTGCAATTGCACATTGATTAATCGTAATAATTATCAAATATCAAATGAATATCAAATTAATTGAAAAGTTGAAAAATTGAAAAAATTATTTTTCCATCAAATTATTTTTCCAATTTCTGGCGAATAAATGGATAAATTCGATTTTATGCGGATTATTATTTTGTTTTTTAATTGAAAGGAAGAAGTAATTAGAATTTTTTTTTGGGGGAAGGCATTGCAAGCAGGTGACGAGGATGCAGTGGCATCCGGGGCATGCGGATCGGAATGCCCGGTTACGGGTTTTCCGGGAATGATGCGACGTGTGTCCAATTCGAATTTCAAACCGGTGATTTCACATTTTTTCGGATTAAACAATTATTTTTTCCCCTTTTAAATCCTTCGCCCTCAAAAAAAATTCACAACTCCAAAATCAAAGTTTATTTTCAATCAATAAACAATTGTACGAATTACCAGAATTTTTTTTACAAATTAATTGAAGCAATTCATTTAAATTCGATTAATTAAATTTCCCAACTCTTCCAAAATTATTTACACACCATTTTTCACCTTTTAATTCACCAAAAAAATTCAGGTGCAATTGTTTATAATTTTTTTCCAATTTTCGGGACATGGATTAATTTTTTATTTCATAAAAACCCATAATTCATTAAAAACGAGGAATTATTTATCAATTCATTAATTATTCCCTCATTCCCCCCACATAAAAATCGAATTGCAATATGCCTGTCGCACTCTATTGGTTTGAATTTCAGCGCCATGTGAAGCGCTACGACCACAGAGGCTTGACTAAATGGGCTCTTTCAATTCTTTCGGCGCCCGAAGGGAAAAAATACGATAGAAAATACATTATTTCGCCTCAGACACTCCATGTCAACGTCCAATAACTCAGAATCATAGAATATCGATTAATTATCGAACCTGGAAATGAGGAATTGCTGCATTTGCAGTGCAGAAAGTGCAGCCTACAAATGTCCGACGTGCAGACAACTCTAGTGCGTAAACAAACATTCATTGCTTCCTGGAATAATCATTTCCTCTCTCAAAAATCACTCGAATTTTTATTATCAACCTCCATCACTGAATGATCATCGATTTTCAAAAGAATTTCAATCGACAACAATTCAAAATAAATTCATAACCTAAAAACTCACGAAATGATGAATAAATTATTTTTTTTCTATATCCCACAAAAAAAATCTCAGTAAAAAATATATTAATTAAAAAAACCGAAGTAATTTTTTTTATTATTTTGTTTCTTTTTGCAGCTGTTCATCGGCTTGTTGCAGATCCCACAAATCATCACCCTGTTCTCCCCCAGAAGCACCAGAAGCTCGTGGAGATGACGCAAAACCCCCCAGAGGATATGACTTTCCAACAGAAGACACTGTCCCCCCACAAAAACTCGAGCAATTGCGTGATAATGAAGATGTGAAGGAGTCCCTGAAGAATCCCCACGTGAGAGACATTGTCCGGGCAATTCTGAACGACTCGGACCCCACGAAAGCCATTGCTCTAGCCATGACTGAACCCATCTTCGTTGAACTCGCTGACGCATGTCTCAAGGTCGTAGAACCTCAGGAAAGCCCCACGTGACGAGACAAAAATTCTTGATTATCCAATTATTGTTCAGATATTAAAGATTTTTCATCAATAAGAAAGAGAAATCGATGAAGTGAAATTATTTCCTTTAAACTCTTCATTTTATATTTTTTCTTTTTGGGTGAACGAATCGCCAAGGAGATAATCATCCAGATTAATCCCAGAAAAACCATAATTATACTAAAAATCTTTTATTACTATAAAAATACAAGACAATTCCCTTACAATTGAATAAAAACCAGTTTTTAAAATTCATCACGGGGTAGAAAGCTAGCAGCATAAATCTCCAGATCTCCAGGTAGTTGAGCTCCATCGAGCTCGACCCCGAGAGCATGATATCTCTTCCTGACAAGATGTGCAGCCATTTTGGGTTGCCTACACCTGGTGAAGATGCCCTTCTTGTTCCCACCGACTCTGGTGTAGGTTTGAGCAGTCCTGAAGTCAGCAAAATTCCAGATAAATTCTCCAACAAACCAGCCAGCCTCCCTGAGCCTGTCAAAAGCCTGAAAATGCCTGGAGAGTACAGCAGCCTGATACTCCTCACTCCAGATGTAGTCTGGCAGCTCATGAAGTCCTGGCTGAGTATCAGCCCCATATTCACTCATCAGCACTGGCTTGTTGTATTTTTTGTGCCAACTCTGGGCCTCTGACACCACCCTGTCAACTATCATGTCAAGTCTTCCAGGATTGGCGTACCAGGAGTTGTACCTGTTGAAGCTGATGATGTCCAGGTACTGGGCTGCCCTGTCCTGGGTGTACGATGTGGATAGGGCAATCGTTATGGGACGGGTTGGATCCGTTGTTTTTGTGTGGAGTGCAACCTGCTTGAAGTAGGTGTCGGCACCTGGGAGAGATGTCCTGGGCTCGTTTGAGATACTCCACATCAGGACTGAGGGACGATTTTTGTCTCGACGAATCAACTCTGATATCGAGGTCTTGTGACGTTTCAGCAACTCCGGGGAGAAATTCTCTGTGTCCACTGCTGGACACTCGTCGATCACCAGGAAGCCCTCGCGGTCTGCCATGTCCATCACTTCGTCGCTGTACGGGTAGTGACTCGTTCTGTACGCATTCGCGCCGATCTGTTGCGATTAAAATGAAAATTCAAAAAATGGAAAAAAAAATTCTAAACCGAGGGAGCACTCACCCATTTTAATAATTCGTAGTCCCTCGTCATGGTCACGAGGTCGAGACCTCTTCCTCTGATGATTGAGTCCTCGTGACGACCGAATCCTCGGAGGTAGACCGGTCTGTCGTTGATGAGGAGTGTTTTGTTGGTCCATTTTATTGTTCTTATGCCAATTGGGAGGCGGTATATGTCTCGAATCGTCGAGTTTGGGACTGTGAGAATTATCTCCAGGGTGTAGAGATAACCTGGGGTGTCACTCATGCTTCGCGGCCACCAGAGATTGGCGTCAGGAATTTTTAGGGTACCGGTAAAACCTGGTATGTCCCCTTCGGCGACTAGAGTTGAATTTTCCTCGCGGAGAGAAACTGAACACTCGGGGACCTCTCCGTCAAGATTGCCGGCTGCTTCTATTGAGTATTTTATTATTCCTGTATCGCCCGAGATCGAGGTCTTTATCGTTATGTCCGATATGTAAACCCGGGGCTTCGTCGATAACAGGACTGGCCTGAAAATCCATTTTTTCGTACACCAAAATTTTTATCATTTTCGAAATGAACTTTTGGGAAATTTGTGCAATCACCTGTGGATTCCTGCATAATTGAAAAAATCAAAACTGTAAGATTGCACCCAGGCGGTTCCATTATCAGCTGGAACTGGATTCACACGACCTTGGGGGATGCTTGTTTGTAGTAAGCTGTTATCAACGGCAACAGTTATTCGATTTTTTCCACCGAACACGAGGAAAGAATTGATTTCTGCCTCGAAGGGCAGATGTCCTATTTCGTGGTTGGTCACTATCTCTCCATTAATCCACTATTTAAAAAATAAACCAAGTTATTCGTTCTGAAAATTCCAAAGAATTTTGCAATTGGAAATTCAAATGTCCGTGAAAAATCGTTATTGATGTAATCTCAATGAATTTCAATTCTGTCCATAAAATTTCAATTTGTAGCTGTCCCTGGAATAAGTGGAATTATGATTTTTTGCAGAATGATTTACCACTTGGGCGAGATAATTCACAGATCCAAATCTGACGAAAACTCGTTGTTCAGCCCACGAGAGTGGGACGAAGAAGCTTCGTTCATACCAGACTGGTCCAACGTGATCTCGTAGAGCTTTCGAGGTCGTTATGTCGTTATATGAGGACGGCACAGGCATCTGCATGACTGGAATTGACTATTTCGAGAAAAAAAAACACAAAAAAAGACCAATCATTGACAAAAAAAAGTCAATCTCAATTCGATTTGCATTATCTCGTGTACAAATGACGCCAGAAAAAAGTGTAATAAGACTTTTTTATAGCTCATGAAATTCTCCACAAAAAATGTTTTATCATAATTTCTCGTAGGACCATTCCCCACCGAGATAAGCCACTCCAATTCCTTCGGAAAAATTTTTCGGGTATTTAAAAAAATGAGTAATTATGGTAATTAATGATTTTTACCCTTGACAGATTATCCTGGTACCACTGATCCCGGATTCCCTTCGCTGAATCACCAGGTGGTGAAACAGCGAAGTCCCAGAGGCCATCCAGTGACCTCACCTGCAGGAATAATCGTTAATTAAATTTAATTAGGGGCAAAGAAGCGCCTCGAGTTGTGGAAATATTTTTACTTCTCTGGATTCGCTCTCCCGGGGATACAGCATCCCCGGGAGGGGAAGAGGCACTGATTCCTCAGAGGGCACTTCCGGTACCTCAATTAGAGCATCTGTCACCGGATTGTCAGTCTCTGCTGTCACCAGGACAACCAGAACCCACAATTCCAATATCCCTCTCAACATTTTCCCCATGTCTGCTACGAGAACTCAAAAAAAAATTGGTAATTCCATCAAAATTCAATTCATTAATTTTTTTTTCATTCTTTATCCATCGAATTAAAAATCTTTAATTGTTAATTAATTATCTGACAGTGAATTTTTTAATATTCAAAATATTTTCTAGTGAAATTAATTTTTTTTCCAATCGGAAATCGAAATAAAATGAAAATAAATTATTGTTCAATTTTTAATTACGGGCGAAGGAATATTATTGTTGGTTTACATGTGTCAACAATATCTGAAAAATAATTATTGACACCGAGTGCCCGTCTGTAATAATATGAGGTAACACTCAAGTTTTTTGCAATTAATTCGAGAACTCTGACCCAATAATTATTATTTTCTCGGAATTTATATCAGCAGTAATTTTGCGATGAAAATTTTTTAAATAAATTAATCACGACAATAAATCGTTACCTTTCCAAATAAAAACGACTGAATTATTTAAATAATTGAAATAATCAATTACTATTATTCAAATGAATGATAAAACCAATTATGATTACGAACTATTAATTAATTTAACAGGTGGACGTTGAGAGATAATTAATTAAAAATCATTTAAGACTAATAAATTATTAAAATAATTATTGATTACCTTGAGAGACACCTCGTTAATGATTATTGATTGACATTGAGGCCTCGACTGTCTCATCGATCAGAGTTACAGGTTTTATATCGAAAACAATTGCGCCACTGGATCAAATATTCGATAAAGTTTATCAAACAATGAGAAAAACACAAGTGGATAAACAAGGGAAATACCTGGGAGAAGGTGCAATGATCTGTGGAAGGTCTCGGGAGTTGGAAGAAGACTAAACGAGACTAGGGACAAAGGGAAAGGTGAGGATGAAAGACGGTGGGAATTGATATTCACCTTGAATTTTTGCCAACCGAAAAGATTAGATTAGATTTGCATTTCTCGACATCAAATGGCAAAAAAAAAAACGTGTAATCATTTTTTTATATCATTGAGTATTCATGCCGAGTGATAGGCCGTTCAGTCGCAATTATCTCGATAACTAATTACTTTTGAGGAAAATGTTTCCAACACTTTTTGTAGATTTGGGAATTATCTGCAATAAAGTTCATTTACCGATTTTTGTGTTTCTCATAGGATCGGAGATATTCGGCGAAAACTGGAGCTGAAGTTTTTTCATCGATCGGTTTCGACTCGACGATCAGTCGACGCAGTTTTTGCGAAATATTTCGGGAGTGAGAGGAGGTAGGAAAAATTTCGTTGATTACTATTTTCTAGCTCTTGAGATTTTGCACAAAAAAGGTCAAATGGAGTATTTTGTGGGTTTAATTGTGGCGGAGATGAGGTCATTTTTTTGAGGTTTATTGTTTGCAATTATTTGTTAGGCATTGTTGGAATAATGTGAGGCTAATTGTAATGTTAGACGGAATTACAGAGACGTTCTAGCAGGGCAAGCACTGGATTTAAAAAATTGGCAACCGTCCAAGACTCGAATTATCCGCGAAAGACAGAAAAACTTGAAATTTCGCGACAGCAATTTCCGACTGAAATTCACTCATCTCAGCTAAAATTACAGCCTCTACCCTCTAATCCCACGATAAACCACAATTGTACGCAATTTCGAGTAAACAAGTCTGTCATCATCTTCTAAATTATAAAACCAAAAGCAAGAAAACCTCAAATCTTCATTTTCCCCCTCTCTCTTGTCTCCCCATCTCGTTAGTCATGAAATTATCTCTCCAACGACTGAATTCACCGAGAAACATTATAAAACTTTTCTCTCCAAAAAATCCAGTTCTAAAAATAACGTCCAACAAGTTTTCCCCGAAAACCGCAAAATCCCGCGATAATCTCCCTGAAAACGCAAAAATAGTACAGCAATAATCCAAAAACTCCAGCCCATTGTTGCCTCCCAAACGACCAGTCGAATAAAAAAACGTCAAAGGACTTTTCCTTGCAAAATTTCCTCCCCTAAAATAAAGGTCCTATGACCCTCCCCACTAAACCCACCCCCTCCGAAGATAATCGCGTAATTAAAAAAACTGAAAAAAAGTTTCACAAAAAAATGCATCAACTCCCACGACTTCCTTTGATAAAAAAAAAACTCACAGTCATAAAATAAACTAGAGCTATCCCTCAGTCACGTTCCATCCATTTCCCTGAAGTTTTGCCTGCAATCAGAAGTGAAAAGGTACATTAGCAACTACTGTGAGGCAAAATACAAATAGATTTACAACTCTGGGGTGTATTTGTGTTTAAATAGGGGTAAGACTGATTGATGTTAACGTACGTGTTGTAACCAACCCCCTTTGAACAATTTTGTTGTGAATGGTGCTGTGATGTTGCCTCATCGAGGCACTTTGTACGACTAGATGAGCATTCGGGATGGAGGAGAGTAGATGTATTACCTATTTCAATCTCTCAGTACCGGTCCTTCCTCGTGTACACTAGTGCGTACAAGTGTATTTATGAACAACTCCTGTTTCCCACAACTCAACTCAATCTACACCCAAAAAAAAAATTGTTTATCCCATCGAATTTGTAAATAAAAAAATATTCTCTTCAAATAAAAATTTTTTCTTCATCAAGAAAAAATTTCCGCTCTTCATGCTGAATAAATTTGAATTGAAGTTTTAGTTGAAATTTCGGGAAATGGCGAAATATTGAATAAGACCTTTTTTGCGGGGCTTGCGGTTTTCTACAAAAAATTTATTTCGAGTTTTTCGGTAGGACTTGTAGATTCGGAGATAATCGGGGATAATTGCACGAGATTTTGATAAAAATTGAGTTGTCAATGTTTTTTTCAATCGATACTTTCTCTTGTCAATTGAATGACAATTTTCCCAAGGATGTCATGCACCAATGGATCCCATTGTCAAGCTATTTGGTATTCTATGGGAGGAAAGGTGCATTAGGTGAATCAGGGGTTCATTTGAGGATTCACGGTTCGTCTGTCATCAATGAATTTGCGAAACTAGATGTGAAATTGCTTTTGCTGAATGGATCCTGCATTAAAAAAAAACAAAATAAAATAATTCTCGTAACGCTCGAGAGGTCAATATGCATTCCTTATTTATTCCTCAAATAATAAAACGGAATGAAAGAAAAATCTCGTTTCTTGCGATTGAAAGAGAATTTTTTATCTCTTAATTGCAAAAAATACACATTTTTCTATTCATGAAGCGTTTGAAATTCTCATGAATAACTCTACTTTTCCGTAAAGTGGCGCCAGATCGTGAATAATCCGCATTCATTCATTCACATCAACTGCAAAGGAAGTGCTCTGCAATTTACGGAATCACCACCGAAGAGCCAAAACGATTTACTCCACTTTCTCCTCAGTATCTCGGAATCCGTCGGAGCTAGTGCAATTACTGTGGGGACTTTTTTGTAGATCTCATTATGCTGTACAAAAAAGGTCCTTTTGAATTTTCGCTATGACCCCCAGCTTCTGAGATATTCTCTGAGAAAAAAGAATCAATTCCGCTCAATTTTCCTCTTTAATGACGAGATTTTCAAAATTTTTCTTTTTCATATCTCGAAATCTAGAACAGATAGCGGAATTATTGTGGGGAACTTTTTGTAGGTCTCTGAGGGCTCTAGAGAAAAGGTCCAGAGGAAAATTGTGCTAGCTCTCAGAGATTCCGAGATATTGAGGGAAAAAAAATGCGGAAATGAAAATTTCAATGTTTTTTCGTCTCTGGTTTATATAATTTTTTTAGGTCGCTGGGTTATCATTTAAATTGGCTAATTGCAAGGCGATTGACCCTCGACATTAAGAGGCCAGGATAGAGAGGTCACCAGCCCTCTGGCTAACAATCAGACACTTCCGGTGTGTCGCGACGATTTAACTCTGAATCATTTTGATACGATGTATCAATGCTTCTGGATTCTTTGTCTCAATTGCTGTTTTATTTGTTTATTCATGACTCATGGCCTTGGGTGATTAGACATTTTGCATTATTTTGCTGGGTAATTGGAAAAATATCGGAGATGTCAGTGGATTTCCTGTTGGCGCCCACCGGATTTCACAACGGAATTATTATCTTCGGGAAGTCACTGGTCATTCGCCCAGGGAAGAGAGATTTTAGTTTAATGAACTATCTTTGATTTGTAATATTTTTTTCATGATAAATTTCGGCGTGAAAAAGGGAGAGCGATATATTTTTTTGAAGGGCTTTTCAGATAATCCGCGAATTTCCGCGGAATTCGTTGGGTGAGAAAGAAAATTGAGAGATTATCTCGGGAGTGAGAGGGTTTAGAGGAAAAAGTCATTGGACTTTTTCCCCGAGAATTCCCTCATCTCCAAAAAATGTCGGATAACATTTTCTCTCAAATTTCAGGATCTCGAGATAATCGAAAAAATATAAGATTGAATTTTGAGAGATTAGTGGTATATCTACTGAATTTTTATATTTCCGCCTGTCATAATGGAGAACAGCGGGTGTGTGTCTCGACCATTTCGAGTTCTCGTGTCTCGCTTCACCGGATATGACACGACTCTCGAGACCCACCCACCAGGTCGCTAACGTGGTGGAGAACGGGTCACTCGTCTTTTATTGCCAATTCCCACATTCGCTCTTTCAAATTAATTTTTCTCCTCTCCTAACCCCAAAGACCTCTGGACCCTCTCCAGACTGAAAAAAAAAATAAAAAAAACGTTTTCCATAATTAAATAAATATTCAAAAAAAAATTAAAAAACGATTCAATGAATTCCACAAACCAGTAATAAGAGAGAAACAATTGGAATAATTAATAATTAAGAAATTTGAACTGCCTATGATATTTTTGAAAATTTTCTAGTAATTTTTCTATTCCTATTTCTCCAGGGCCATCTGTCGGGACTCTCCCTAACTTCGTGGGTCAATTTGACTAATTGATCTCTGGAATACAAAGAAATGTATCGCGAGGGACTTCCGGTTGGACAGTTTACGTCGGAACGTTTGTAAATGTTGTGTGATCCTTCGTCTGAGGAATGTCAGGGAAAAATGGTCGCGATAAAAAATATATTCAAGGCGTCGATAGATCAACGCCCACCTGTGCGTCTAAAAATATATCAGTCCTCTCTTGCGAAAAAATTTAATGGTCTTCTCCCGTCACATGTCACCTCAATCGATCGGAGAAAAAACGAAAATGTGGAAGCATCACGAGCCATGAGTAACAGTAAATAAACAATTATAAATGGGGGAATATCGCGCCCTTCGATTCGGAAAAGGAAAATGTCTCCGTCTAGATCTCATGTCAATATTTGGTTGCAATACTCACAAGAGCATTCTTTTTTTTAACGAAGTATAACCAATAATTATCGGGACAATAACCTAGAACAAAAGAAAATCGTCACCAGTGAATACTGATTCGATTATTTAGAAAAATATTGGGTTGCAGGATTTTTTTATTATTGTCTTTTCTGAAATCTTGATAATTGGGTAGTACTCGGAGGATATCTTGATGAATTCATGAATTTCCTCCTTGGAAAATTGAATCAGACTGGATTGATATAGCAACCCAGAGGATTCTGTTATGATCCCAGGGTACATCCATAAACCTTAAGCCAAACAAAGTGGACCCTGGAGATCTGGTCACACCTATTACCCCGAAACTAATCGCTTTGGTAACTCAACTCCCCTGGAACACAGTTTTGTCGTTAAATGTCGACCCAAAATCTTCTTACGAAACGAAACAATAAAATTGAGAAATGGGACCACCCAGAAAGAGAGAAGAAATCGAGATTTGCATTTTATTCGGTATCTCCCAAGCTGTATATTGACTTCTATCTTGAGAACAGCGAGTTTTGGAAAAAAATATTGTTAGACTTTTTTGGAGATGAATAAATTCTCTACAATTAAGCTTCAACTGACTTTTTCTGTCAACCCATTTGATAGGGAGATGGAGACATTTTTCCACGGGAATAAATTCGTATTTTTGTATATTCGGGTAAAAAAAGTGCAGTGAAATTATGAAATAATGGAGTCAGTTATCAACTGATGCACGTGTTCCTCTGGGTATTGATTTTTATGACATTTCGAGGGCGAAAAATCATCTGAGGACAAACAACTCTTCATATTCGCCAGTGAGTATTACCATATCTTCATGATTTACGACGTCGTAAGACTTTCGGAGATTCAAGGTGCAGATTAATATTTTTTTCGACGTTTTCCTTTCAATATCTTCAAATCTGCAAAGCTGATAAATTTCCCAGGGTAATATTTAAGACTACGATTTTTCGCGAAAATTTCTTATCCCTTTCCTATCAAAGTTTTAAAATTATCTCCTTGAAAAATAAATTATTCAACGATTTATGGGCGATGAATCGGCGAATCTGATTTTTTCGATTTGAAAACGTGAAAAATCCAAAATTTTATTCGTTTTCAAAAATATAATAACAATAAAAATTCCACAGTATAATATTCTAATTCTTCTTCAAGGTATCAATTCCGTAAAATTAAAAAAAATCATGCATGAATTATTGGTGGTGGGGGTAATCCCGCGGTGGGCGTTTGAACGGAGAGAGAGGGACTGTGTGGGTGAGCAAAAAAGAGGGCGAGGGGGAGGAGAGGGAGGTGAGAGGGGTAAAAAAAAAAAGAGAATGAGCAGACGAGTCGGGTCTGGAGGGTTCCCCATTGCACTTGGGATGGAGTGAGAAGGACGAAAAAGGGAGCTTTGGCTGTTGTGTTGAGGAGTGGAAATCCACGACAGTCGCGCGTCACGCGGCGCACCGTACGCACGGGTTTTCCTTGCGTTGCGTGTGGCAATTTTCTCCTTTTTTTCCACCCCGTATCACCCCCCCGCAACCGCCTGACCACGTGAATCCAAGGGAAAAAATGGGACAGTGAAAAACCGCGAGTCGGTCAAATCCGCGGGAAATTTTTCAACCGAGGTAATTTCCATTTATTGTTTAGTTGGTTTTTTTGGGATTTTTTTAAAAGGTTTTTCTAGGTTTTATAGTGCTCAGTGATGATCTATCCGGGTGATGACATGGGGATTTATTTTTATCGTAGGGATTATTTATTTTTATGGATAAGTGAGAAAGTGCTGAGTGAAAAGTTGAGTCTGCGGGTCTCTGTTTACTCGGGAAATTGGAACGAATGGGGGATGGGGATTTGATTTTTTTTTTCTCGATGGTTTTTGTTTGCTGAGTTGTGAGGGGGTGTTTGGGGGTAGGAGTTGTGCGGAATTCGATTGATTGATAATTATTGGGTGGAGAGTTTTGGTTTGGATTTTACTCGGGAACGAGTTGATCCAGGGGGAAATGGTATCATACTTTTTTTGTGGGGAATTCAATTTTCTGGCAAAAAGTTCTTTTCACTTTTTTACGTAACTCCAACTGTGATCGAGATTATGGGCGATTCATTGCGCAGGTCGCATCAACGCGCGGTTTGTTAATTTATTAATTACCTCGTTAATGACTCGAGCTACGGCGAAACGTCTGGGGACTTTTTTGATGAGCAGAAAATTCCGAACAAAAAAGTTCTTTGACGTTTCGTTGTGGCTCGAGTCATTCAGAAGATAATAAAGGAGAACACAAAAATCGTCAATTTTTTTCAACGTTTGCCTGATAATTATTATCGATAAATGTAGTACACACGTTCATTGACTGTTTTTTTCATTCATTCATTATCTCTAAAGAATAACCGGTAGTGGGGGACTCTTTCTTCTTTATCAGCTGTATCTAATCGACTTGCTGAAGCCCCAAGCAAAAGAAAGAATTTTTTCTCGTATTGACTTTGGGTGTTGAATTGTCTGGGATGCGCCGGGAATTTAATGCTGTCCCCAATCGGTGACCGGTTTAATTGACTTTCCGATCTGGGAAGGGGAATAACCTCGTGCAATCCTTGTTAGGTAAGACTGGATGTCAAATCGCACCCAATCCGAGGCCTTCAACGACCTTTTCAATTTTTATTCCCTATTTTTACCCCCAAAAAAACTCGATATATTCCCCACGCGAAATTTTAATTGATATCTCTGCATTCAGAGGAGATAGCGAAATTTTTCTCAGAACCTTTTTTGTAGAGTGAAATGAGAGCTGGAAAAAAGGTCCTGATGAAAATTTCGCCATTTCTGTCAGACTCGGGAAATAATTAAAAATTCTAAGAAAGTAACCAGTTGGGATGAAATTTCCTAGGGATCGGTCAATAAAATCGGCCGAGAAAATTTCCCAGTCAATGCCTCTTGGTTTTAATGTCTCGGTTATTTATCAGAGTGATTACTCACTCTTTCACGGATAAAAATTAATGGAAAATCCCCGATCAATCCTAATAATTTAATTACCCGACTCACTCGCGAGATGATAAATTCCCAGGGTGTGGCACCACGAAACCACAAATTGCGGTTGTGTATACTTATGTATCACACGTTCTCACTTAAATCTTGAGTCACGTAATTTCCACCTCAAGTTAGAAGTTCAACTGCACATACTCCCCCGGAGAAATAAACAATCAATTATTGAAGAAAGTCATGAGGAAAGGTCGAATGGCCGTCCAATTGATAATAAATGATAATAAATTCATCTTGACCCACATGATATCGATTTATTTTGTTCCGATATTTGCCCCTCAATTCCGCAATCTATATCTCCCCCTTCCCTCCCTCCAACAGGGGAAACATCAAAGATAAGAGGGGCAAAACGGAATGAGAGAATTCAAATCGTTAGCGATTCTGCCGCCACTTGGCTGAATATAACTCAAAATTGAGAGGAGATAGAAAATTTTTCGATAAGAAATCTTATCTAGCTCTTAAAGTTCCCTTCCAAAAAGGTTATTACCAACTTTCCGTATCTTATCGCAATTTCGAGTTATCCTGAGACGGAAACATCGAAGGGATCCACGAATTTCGAGTGTGTCATATTTTCAGTCATCAATTCGCTGAATATAACTGGAAATTGAGGAAAGATATCGAATATTTCAATAAGAAATTTTATCTAGCCCGTAAAATTCCCTTCAAAAAAGATTATTACGAAACTCCCGTATTTTTTCGCAATTCCCAGATATCCAGAGGCGAAAATCCGAAAGAGTAATTTTTGTTGTATTTCAGATTGATAAAAATCGTGGCGAACGGGATAAGACAGCACAAAAAGAAAATTCAAAGTTGCGAGAATTTCCTACGATCTGCTTGAGTGGAAATCCGATATATTTGCACCGTTCCCGATGATTCAATTAAATACCGGGGGCCTGACGGAGTGAGAAAACGTCGACAGACGGAGTAAAACACGAGAGGAAAAAGAAACAACGGGAAAGAGAGAAATATAAAAAGGAATAAAAAAAAGCGGGAGAGGAACAAAGGGAAACGGAAGGAAGAGGGACTGGTGTTCCGAGGCGATGAGGAGCCAAGAAATTCTTGGAATTCCAGGGTGACATTTCCGCTCGGTGGAATTCAACTTGGCAATGGGATATACCTTCTATTGAATTGTATTGACGACGAAACAATTATGTCGGACATTCAATACATAAGATATCCCACTCTGCAGCAATCGAGTGACGAATTCAATGGTCAGTACTCCTTTTTTTTCAGTTATTATATTTTTTTCTGATGATTTTCCTCTCACCTGACCGCAGGATGCGAGTCATTGGAATTCCCCGGCGGTTCCTCGCAGGAAATCTCTAAATTATCGGTTTTACGATCTCGGGGTTGTGTAGGGTTACGAATATATAATTAGGTTCTATCGATTTTGGAGGAAATTTCCGGTGAAATTGAGAGAAATTTAACCTTGTCGACATGAATCAAATTGAATTAATTATCCTTTTGAATTATTTGAAAAACTCATTGCATTTCAAGTCAGGATTAATTTTTTCGATTTTCACGAAGAGAAAATTATAGAAAATTGAGAAAATGATTCTCCAATGATTTTTGGATTTTTGTAAAAAATTCAATGAAAACGTTTTTTTTTATGAAATTGAATATTCACAAAATTGAATGAGAAATTGAATTTCATTCATGAAAATACAGAATTTTTGGTTTTCGGTGTGATTTCAGCGCCTACAGGACACGTGAACAAGATGTGGAGTAATCCAGGAAATACGTAGGACTGATCAATAACGATGACACGACGCTGAGCGAGATGAAAGGAGAAATGAGCAATTGAGAATATCCAAGGAACAGGGAAAATCTTTTCTATTTGTTTTGAAGAGGGGGAGAGAGAGTAATCCACGGTCAGTGTCACTTGGATAGTCACACTGAGAGCATTAATACCCCAGCCACCCACTCACAACCATCAAATTCAAGGAGAGCCAGTCATATGTGTTCTACAACTACTTTTAATCCACTTTACACTGACAACTTGATGACTGCCCAACAGTGAGGGATTTTTCTCGGATGGAAAAAGTGCTGGAGAACTTTCAGACTCTCAAAAAATTTATCCTGTGATTTAGTGAAAGTGTTCAGTGAGTTTTTACGGAGTGTTCATTGTGCTTGTGCTTTTTATTTTGTGGAACTATTGAGATACGATGCTGAGATACTTGCTGGTACTTGGGGTGTTGTCCTCTACCTGGGCCAAACCTCACTCCTTGCTGTATGCTGATGACAGAGTGGTGAGTGGTTTTTGCCTAGATAAATACGATTTTAATTGGAAATGTCATTTTTGAATTTTCGCGAGAGGTGGAAAAGTAACCTGCGATATTTTGGGTTTTATCGGGAGAAGGGGTGATTTTGGGGGAAAAAATCAGAGGAACTTTATTGAGATTAATATATTTGCAACGGAAAATTCTAATGAATTTTTCTCCTGAGATGGCTCGGTGGCGAGATAATGATCGATTCAACGAGATTGAATTGGTCGACTCTACGGAGAATCATTGAATTGAGATGATAAATGAATTCGAGGGCAATAATAACAACGAAAATTGATGGGTATGGGTTCTTCGAACTTTTGTATACAACTGGGGTTAAGATAGGGGGAGATTCAGGGTCCACGAATTAATGGGATCGATGCCCCTGGAGCGATAAGAAGGTCAGAGTGGAGCACAAAGAATTTTTCTCATCTCTTGGTGTCCAACGACATCTAATCCATCACTGACGTGATTTTCAACTCCTCTTTTCCCTCTATTTGTTCCATCAACAGTCCCTCAATTTCTGAGGTCCCGATCGACTCAAAGGGACTCGAGAAAAAAAAATAAACGATGAATTTGCGAATTTTTGCGTCGTCGACGCTTCTGGCGCACAATAACGTCACAGACAAACAAAATTACTTCTGAACATCAAAGGACTTCTCCTGGTATTTTTTCTCATAAGGGTGGAAGGGTGATGGATTCACCCTGAGGCATCCTATCCCCAGATATGGATTATCGTGGTCGTGCATCAAATACCGGAAGTTATATCCGAGAATTCGGGAGAGGTTTTCATGGGTGGATTTAGTAGTCGTGTTATCGCACGAGATTCGCTCGAGAATTTCAGATTAAAATTGGAGGAATAGGAGTAATCAGGGGTGGTTCGAGGGGGTGCACCTCTGGTACTTGGCCCTTTTAATTTTTAGTCAACTTGGGTGACGGGTTGTGCAATCGTTTATGCAATGGGTGATGAGGTAAACAAATAAATTTGAAAAAAAAAAGTAAAATAAATTCGGGAGTAACCCGCGGTGCTGTAAAACCTGTAGAAAACCCTTTACCCAATGAAACGAGTCCACGGGCATTTATATTTGATCGGAGGTCGTTAACTGCAGGAAGCGCCGGCGCATAAGTTGGGACTTAAGAGTCGCGACGTGACGAGCTCATACAAACGTCGAAAAAAAAAGAGGAAAAATAAAAGAAAAGAGCGAAAACGGAGTGATCGAGGTGGAAAAACGTGATAAAGCGAGGAGCGAATAAAAGTCGAGGAATCGTAGGTCGATTATGACCGATCATATAAACCCGAGTAGGCGAGTGACGGTTAAAAATAATAAAAATAAAAAAAATCGAGAGATATCTCTCGAACACTCCAATGAAATGCTGGAGCTGCTCGTTCAATTCTTCCAGTGCCAATTATCGGCCATTAAGGGTAAAAGGGAGGTAAAAAAAAATTGAGAGCCACTCCGATCCCATAGAAATTTTCACCAATTTTATTTTTCATTTTACGATGGGATTCCCCTCGCAATGTAAAAATCACTTACATCTGTGGCTCGTGCTGGGTATGGGGTTTATAATCAACCGAAATTAGTTAAAAATAATTGGAATTAATCTATTGAATTTTTGAGAATTTTAAGAAAATAAAATTATCCGTTTTATCTAGTGGAAAAAAAAAATATCGGAATAACCGAGTCATTCCCGAGTCAACTCGACTCGCATTTGCACTGACTAGTAGTCGAGAGATAACTGGAGTAATTAATTTTAATTTACTTTGTAAGATACCGAGAGAAGGAAATGACTCGAAGCAGAAGAGATGCTCATCCCTTCAGCAGCCCCTCGGCTTGTGGAACTTTCCCATTTCCTAATGTTTCCAACTTTAAATTTCAAATGAAAAACAATTGAAATTTTCAACAAGTCACTTAAAACATCTGGAGAAATTCAAATGTTCGCGCGATTTCCACTCGGAGTTCAACAGCCAAGAGTAAATAAGGAATTTAATTAGTTTTCAGATTATATCTCAGAATTGAGGGTAGATAGCGATATTTTTGTGAAAACACTTTTTGTGGGGAATGAGGAGACCGACAAAAAATGTTTTCACGAAAATTTTTTTAATTTGCCCCGGTTTCAAGATATTTTCGAAAAACCGACTTGATGCTCTGGTTTTTGCATTTTGGACCATGGGAATTATTTATAAACAATCGGAATTCTGTAGGTAATTCGCATATTACAGGATTAATTTTTTTTTTGTTGAGAAAAGGATTTTAAATGGTGAATTAAATCGCTGGTTGGATTAGAATTCATTGAATGAGAAGGAATGATGAGAAAATTAATAAATTCCGAAATTTGTTCAGTTCGAAATAAAACAGATGTCAGTTATTCATTAATTATAGACCTCATCTCTCAGGTGAGTTGCAAGTTTCTGGTGATGGATGGTGAAGCTGATGAGGATATCAAACGTGAAAAAAAAAATTCCGAATATCTGGTTTCACGGGAATTTTAATGAAATTCCAACGGCGAGATGCCCAATAGATCCTGATCGAAAGATAAATAAAAAATTATATAACAAAGGATAATTCCACACAAACGTGTGTTTCAAATGTTGATCAAGTCGACACTCCTCCGAGCAATAACCAAAATATAAACGAATGAATGTTTATTGAGATGACTCGATGTGAGAAGCCACCGGTGGCAGTTCAGCAAACAAACATCCACCAGCAAATAAAAAATTTTCATACTCTTAAATAATCCATAAAAATAATATAAATGATTCAGTGTGTGAGATACAACGGGTATTCCATCACAACAGTCTATAATATCAAGGTTTTATTTGTTTACCTCATCACCCAGCACATCTCCAACATACGCTGAACCATTTGATAAACCATTGCACAACCCGCCACCCATGTTGACTAAAAATTAAAAGGGTCAAGTGCTAAAGGTCTGCCCTTACGACCACCCACCCTTAGTGTTTGACCATTCATGTGGCATTGTCCAAAATTATGTGTTTCTCTCGGGGTGTCTGGATTTCACACAAGTATTAAAATTGAGTTTGCGGACCATTCAGCATGTGCTGCCAGATCGCAACCGGGGCTTGTGATACAGAAATGAACGGTTGGTAATTAGTAACACATGTGTGGAGGGAATGGTCTGAGCATCTCGTATTTCCCATTCCTGGCACATCCCAGGCAAGCCTGTGTACACACGCCGAGAGAAAAATCACCCGTCGTGTTTTCCTTGGCCGAGGGATTATCGATCATTGTCATTAAACTTGAATCAAACTGAGAGAAAAAAAAAGGCGTAATATATTTTCCACTTGTCCAACACTTGGAGTCAAAGGAATTATTTTCGTATTTCCATGCCTTGGATTTTTCTCAGTGAAAATCAGTCTTCAGGTTTTGACTGAAGATCAGATCAGCAGGACATGCAATCTGAATTATTTTCAAGTCTCAGGCATGTGCAATTTTTCAATGACGAAGTGAACGAAACTCTGGTAAGCCGTCTCAGAATCTTTGGAATCGAAAATCGTAACGAATCAAATGCGCACTTTACCTACAGAATTACATGCAGGCATGTGCAATTTTTCATTGACTCAAATTAATTTTCCATCGGTGTAACTTGACTTAGATCAACTGATAATATTTTTGGAATTGTCATTGACAGCGAATTGTTGAGGACCATCTCAAGCTGATAAGACATTTGCGAAAATCATTGGTGTTTTGTTGGTGGTTTTTTTTTTTTTCGTTATCAGCTAATCTCTTCGTGATAGAGTTCACAAGACAGTCGATTGATAAACGAGGGAAAACTCGGGGGTAAAAAAAATGTTCACCCCGAAAAGCAGAATACGAACCTGGTCCCTGTCTCGACTCTGGTAATTAATCGATTGCGAGGGCCTAGTACTGGTGGCTTGTCTCCAACAACCGTTGATTCATCGTTTGACTTTCAACCTTTGCCTTCACCTACAAATCGTTCATCTTTCCAATGTCACTCTAGATAAAAACATTAAGCCTAATGGACCGGTGTCTTTATTTAGAAATGGTAATCTGAATAATTAACCCGCGAAATGGCATGACTCAAGTTTGACTCACGATATTTCACTTTGTTATCGATTTATCTCGAAAACTATCGACTTGCGGGGGAAAGGCTGAGGGACTTTTTTGTAGCTAATTAAATTTCTGACGAAAAAGGTATCTTGGTATTTTTTTTTTAAATCAATAGCTTTTTGATTAACGGATATTTAAGGAAGGGAATAATTTGAATCATTTCGCTTTGGCTTTTTGTCTCTAAATTATTTTGACTTTGGCTTTGGGACTGGCTCGGTCGATAATAGAACAGACAAGAAACTTCGCCCGATGATTCAGTCATTACTATAACTCTCCGGCTGTCGTCTGACGCACATTTCAAAAATTTCAAACACGTGGCGTTCAGCTTCCGGAGAAATGCGAAATAACGAGAAATTTATTTACTGAATCTGCCAGAATCAAATCGCCATTGCACTTCCTGCAATTTTTTTGCAAAAAAATTCCTGAAACTCTGAACTTCACTTAAACGATTCAATAAATATTCGTTATTAAAAAACAATTACACCATTTTTATTGGTGTCAATTAAAACCAAATATTTTTAAAAATTCAATTGAACTGGAATTTTCAATTTTTTTTGCTGTCGATAATTTCTTTGATATTATTATTCCCTTCTCGATAGATATTCGAGACAAATGGAAAACTGGAATAGATGTATTTCCTGTTGAAAAATACCACGATGTCTCGATTTGTGTCCATTAGTCTCTCGTCGGTATTCACCGGCTCCCGGCTAATGAAATTCGTGATACTGTTTATTCATTCTGCACTTAGACCACCCCTTCCAAAAATAACGATTCACCCGGTGGAAAAAGTGAAACACGAGAGGGGCTTTTCTAGGGTATATGGGAGGGCTCTAGGGCGACTCCCCGACGCGATGAATCAACGGGTAATAAACACGAGGGCGTCGCGAC